AGTACATAAGGAAGCGAAATCCAAAGAGCTTTTTTATTTTGGATAAACTTTTTGGGGTACCTATGCCCCCGTAGCGTGCCAGACCACCTTTCTGGACCCACCAATGAGAATGCAATGGACGCTGTTATCATTATTGACAAGGCCGCCAATTCATGGAAGCAAACACAGGACTGAGGATCACAAATAGGCGGCTTCCCAACGGATGCTCATGCTATTTCAGAATGAAAATATTCAATGATAAATATTGCGCACATGCCCAGGCCCGCAGGCCTCTGGCTGTACGCTGCCGCGGTTCCAGGACCCCGTCTGTTGTTTCAGCGCTCATGACCGCGCGTCAGTGACTCTGACCTTGGACCTCACCATTGTTCTACCGCTCATGCGAGCCTCTAAAACCGCCAGCATGGGCGCAGATGCACTTTAAAACACAGCTGACTCGATAACAGAGCATCATATTGACTCTACCACACCAAGCCCCGCTCACTAGTTTACAAACATCTCTCTCATTATCCCTCACAGAATAGGTCACTACTTTAGTCGACCCTCGACTCAGCACGGACAGCCAGCCCACCTGTGAAGCGGGTAGGGGTCTGCCCCGTGTCTCCACGCAGTCTGGGCTCAGCAGTCAGCACACAGCCTCCGAACAGTCTAGGCTGAACAGACACAGCCTCCAAGCAGTCTGCACAGTACAGACATGACCGTCCAACGCCCGCCGTCCCTTTAAAAGGATGTCCCTTGTCCACCAGTGACGTCAAGTCATATTACGTCACTGGTGGAGCTTTGACGACCTCGGTCGTGATTCAGTGTGAACCCTAGGCGTGATTTCGGAGTGGGACCGCCACTGTCAGCGTGTAGAATAGGGTGCGGGCGATTGGTATCATGTCCGAGGTTCGACACGGGGCGGGTCGCGTTAGCTGCCCTGTCGATCGCTATCCCCCGTGTACCATGTCGGTAATGGCGACGGAACACGTGTTAGGTAATGGCGATATCAGGGGAGGCTGACTGGAAATCACCCAGATGGGTCACAGATAGCGGGCCTGTTACCATTTGGAAATACAAGATCACCACGATCAAATGGATTAAGTTACACGATTCTCGATCCACACAGCCAATGGTCATTCCTTTAAATGCATCGGTTTCACAAGCATGCCTATGAAAGTATGAAGAGATCTATCACTTCTTAGGTAGCAACGCCGATTGTGCGTTGCCCATCTCTCGACATGCAATCAACTAACCGTAGAGAAGGTTTTGGGCCAGCGCAGCACTCTATAAAAGCACTAAAAATATGTTACCGCAGCACTCTATAAAAGCACTAAAAATATGTTACTATAAACATTTTAAACTTCAATAGATTCACACAAAAATACGACCGATCAGTCTGTGTCTCATATACACCTCGATCTAGCGTAAAACGTTATAATCGGCAGTATCCACGTTTTTTTTTTCCAATCTGAAGCCTAACGCCACGCTAAGCCATCAGCCCTGCGATCACCCAATGACACCAGTAGGCGTTTGGCCAACAGTCGCGCCGCGCCAACCGGGCTACCTGAGCCAATGACGCGGCGCAAACCTCTAATTGCATTCGCCGAGGCATTGTTGCATTGTGGTAGCGGCTGTCGGAGGGCATTGTTCCGCGAGTGGCGCCAGCTGACCCTGATGGCTACTTCTCCCTGCCCGCCGGAGGTGGCGGCCATCCGTAATTCACCGGGCGACCGCGGAAGGTGGAGAGGGACGGGTGATGCCGGGGAACTTACTGACCCGGCGGCGGCACGCACTGCACTGTGCACAGTGCACATTCAAGTTTTAAATACATGGAAGACGGATTGTTTTATTACATATCAAACAAATGCAAATGAGTCTTCCACCTTGAGACGACGAAGGCGGCTATCAGACATCAAAGTTTGATCAAAGAACCATTCCGCCGTATGAATGAGCGCCGTCAATGTTGAGCATCGTTCATTAAGATAAGAAATAACGTGGCATTCCGATATCCCGATATGCATCAGGCAAACAGCAAACTCACGAAATAGTTATGCGATGAGAACATGACGCCGTAACAAAATTGGACGGAACTTCAAAATAAAAAGTTAGAGCTTTAACTATCAGTTATAGAAGATCGAAACCAATAACTACCCAAAGTCACACTATCTAGACAAACGATTCCCAGGGTGTTTACAATACGACTAAGCACAACCCACGCCAGACAGCCGATTAACATAACCGGTTTGATCTGACAGTCGTGGCAAACCTTTAAATGTCTCGGTAAGCCGGCCGATTCGGCGTTAAATCAGAAATAGTAGACCGATGGGCAGCTACATCGACACATGCACGTACAGCTTCATGTAATGACTAAACAAGGTTTGCAGAACGATTGGCGCTCACTCATGAATATGGATCGAATGGGAACAATAGTCAAAGAGTTATCATTGTACTGCGGCCATTGTGGCAATACGTCGGCATTTATCGGTTGGGAACATGCAAATTAATTATCTAGTTAGTGCACATTGTTGGTCTACGGTGCGTTCATCGCTGCAAATATACCGTGGGAATGCCGCCAGTGGTATGTTACCTGTGATGGCACTGTTTGGTCCCGTGGTGGTTTCAAACAACGATTTACTGACCCGTTAACCCGCGCCCTGGTGGGGTCTGTTTATAACGCGACCTGGTGGGGGGGGGGCTATTTTTTGCCCCCCCTCGTATCTCCGAAACTACTTGACGGATCCTCAAAATTCAAACGGCGTTCGAAAGGCCTGTCAAATTTGTCGAGGGAAACCAAATTTCATTGACCTCGGGGTCACCGATGACGTCACAGGTCAGGTCAAAGATGACATGTTTCACCGTTCACGGGTCATCTAGGGAATGCGCTATAACACCGAAGAAAACGCATTTTGTCGAGAATCAGCGATAGGGCGTCAGTTGCCTAGTACATATGTTGCTATAAGAGGTCACTGACAATACCAGGTCAGGTCACAGGTCAGGTCACCAAGGGTCAGAGCCCAGAGGTCAGGTCACATGAACCTAACATTAGGTACTTAGGTTGTGCGATGCATGTTTTATGGCCAATTTTTCATTTCCAACTCAATGGTGTTGGTTATAAGACTATCAGGTACGGCTTAGGTCACTTTCTGGTGAAGGTCAGGTCAAGGTCAGGTCAAGAAAGGTCAAATTTTAAAGTTGATAGTTTTGCATAAAATGGGTATTGATTCGATGCAGCTCGTCACGGGGAGTCTAATGGTGGTCTTTGTTTTGCGCTACGGGGTCTAGAATTGCTAAAAATTGAGTTTGAAAATTTGACGTCATCAATTTTGAACAGTTTTTTCGCTATAACTTCGCCAAAAAATGAGGTATCAATCTCAAATTTGGTATGTGGATAGAAGGCGGTAAGGACTATCATATATATTCCGGTTTTTGCGAAACTCCAAAAACTTTTTGGATTTTTCGGTTATTATATTCAAAAAATCTATTTTTTTGATTTTTGGGGGTCAAAATCCAAAAATTTCAAAAATCCGAGATTGCAGTTTTGTAGCCCTGTCCATTTTACATCTTTTATGTCTTTATCGTTTTTCTGTATTTGCAAAGCTATAGGCCTGACAGCTCTTCCCGCGAAACCCTTTTTTTGGTCGAAAACGGCAGCACATGACGTCACTCTGACGTCATTTCCAGCCAACCTATCATAGCCTTTGGAAAAATTTTTGGTCACGATGTGTAAAATTGATGTCCGAGAGGGTACTGAAAGTTTCGTGGCGATCGGCGCAGCGGTTCTGGAGATATATCGAAAAGTCTGGAGGGGGGGGGGGGGGCAAAAAATAGCCCCCCCCCCCCACCAGGGCGCGGGTTAAACTGTTGGGTGGCAGCTTTTAAGCATTTAATTATGCGTTACCTTAACCTATGAATAGTTGGATAGACGCACCCGATTCCACAGCTTTGTGACCTATTTTCTCTAGAACGTTGCAGACATTAATGTGTGGCTAAAATGAACCGAGCTATCTGCGGGCAGTGGATGCCGCCGTAAATAAGTGGCAACAAATCAGCTGCGATTTTATCCCAGCGTCCCTAGGCAGGCCCTCACGAGGTGTTCGAGAATGCCCCCGGGGAATAAAATGAATGGTTAATAGTCTCGCCAGCAATAAAAGCATCGGTGGATCATCCAGTTATGAATTTCGCAAACTTAATGATAGGAATTATGTTGCAAATAAGACTACCGGTAAATTAATGTTCCTGCCATGTGCAAATTAATTGCGTCATGTTTAACCGTAAACACGTAATAAAGTAAATTTAGTAGGTTAATGCATGCAAACTAAACATGTATTAGATAGAACAAACAATGAATAATTTTAACATACTGATGAACTTGACCTTGGTCCTTCCGGTATCCAATTACCTAGTTGTTAACAATGAAAAACACTTCAGCCATTTCATACAGAGCACTGTTTGAGTCGTGTGGATATTCCCGATTGTAAAATACATGATGTTTAAATCGTATCCGGGCAAGGTTAAAATCGTCCAAATGGTAACAAAAACTAGGGCATTAATTCGACACAATTAATTTGCCTCATAATCTTCTCAAAGGGACATCCCCACATCGCCACCTCGCCAGCCACGCACGAGGCCCGCCCCCGTCGTCGGTAGCCGGTTGTGTGCAGGGATCAACATTCAACAGGTTTGTCCTGCCGTGTATCGCTCCACCGTACGAGAGCGTCTTATCGGACCGGCACCGCTCGGCAACACAGCTCGATAGAGGGGGCCGGTTACAGCGCGCCGGCACGGGACAGGACCAGGGGTGCATGGCATAAACCGATTTAAACGCTCCATAAATCTGTCGGCTAGATAAGCTGCACGTCCAACGCCCACTGTCAATGTCAAGAGGCACGTCGCGTGGTGTGACATTCGGCACAGGGAGAACACAATGTAAAGAGGCGGTTTGGAAAATCCAGCTACTGGACCTCACCACTTCATACGAGCCCGTGCCCCGAGTGGTCCCCACAGCGGCGGCGGCCACTCACCTGGGTCCTCCGAGGGGCCTCATGGCGCGTGCTCTCTCCGCCCCCTCTCACCCCTCACACCAGACTGACACTCTCCGTACACGGGCGACAGAGCGGGCGTCTCTAGCCGACACTGGCCTGGCGCATGGCCCGGACCGACCCCGCTCAGGAGACACCACCGCGACCCCCACCGACACCGGCGTGCGACTGACCGGGCGGCGGCGGCGGCGACCACCTGGTCCCGCGCGGCCCGCGCCGAGAGCTCGAGCTGCCGAAGCACGCCCCCTGCCGCCGCCGCGGTCGTCGAGGGTCCGCCGGGCCGCTGAGGGTCCGACGGCCAGTCGGCTCTGTGAGAGGGGAGGTTCGGCGGACCGCACTGCCATCTACCGACGACATCACAAACTAACGGTAGTCAAGAGCATCTCCGACTACGAGATAGATGATAGTATCGCGAATTTCCCACAAAGGTAATTTGCAGTAAACCGTGCAATAGCTGGACAAAAAAAAAACACGACGATCTGTCTTCTTTTCCATTCATATTTCTGGTAAATTTTAAATTCCAAAGTATTCATTCATTCATTCATTGCTTCATTCAACCATTCCTTCATTCACTTATTCATTCATTCATTCAATTATTAATGCATCTCTTCAAATAGTTTTTTAAGCGGAGTTTTTTGTATGAGGCACCTATTTATTTGAACTGCCATGAGCATATTATCTTTAAATGCGTATAACATAAGAAGGGAAAATATCTCGCAATTTCAAGCCGAGGCGTAAATACAAGAGTTAACATGGTTATTGAAGGGAAGCATGCTAGCTCCAATTTTACTATTTGACGGTGCACTAGCGACAGGGTCACTCGGTGAAGCCTACAGACTGCCAGTTGAAATCTGCACGTGCATCTTGGTTCATGAGCACTAGACAGTGGACACTCGAGACAGGGGACATTCCAACATCCTTTGGTGCAACACTCATGGCTCCTATCATTCATCCATATTAGCTCTTTGGTTGCAGACATGAGAGCGTTCAATGTAACTTCGTCATGACCGCTTCTGTACATCGGCTTTTGAATAGGAAAAATTGATAGAGTAAAGCCAATTTGCACTATAGGCACTCGTGTATTACATTATTACGGCTGATCATGATCACGGTTGGTGCTTTTTTGTGCTGGTATATTGATAGCAAGAACGAAATAACAAGAATCCAGTACACAGCCCAGCCTTGGTAACAGACGCTCCCGTAACATCGATTATAAAAAAGAAACAATATCTATGTAAAATTAAAGAAATAGACATTAAAAAAACACTTCGCCTCACATCAACTTACCGATCAGAAAATAAACAACAAATCTCATGTTTTCTCGCACCGCGCCAGAGCTACTACAATCCCCAGCTGACAAGCACAGCCACAGCAGCGAGAGGTGTTCCGACTGCCCGCGTCTCAAGGCCTGTAACCCGGCGGCGGCAGCGCGGTCCATCACTCTCTAAAAGTGCCGGCTGCCTTTTGGGGAGCGACACTCAGTGCTCGGTGCTCGTCTCCCGAGCTTAGAGCTGTGACGGCGGTCTTGGACAGGGATGGGGACAGCTGTCTTGGACAGTGATTGGGACAGCTGTCTTGGGGAGGTGGGCCTGGGACAGCCCTGTTTGGATTACAGGTGGGGGCAGGCCTGAGACAGTCCGCCTTATCTATGGGTTATAGGGATGCCGAGCGCCAGTAAGTTCACAAAAAAACTCGTTAAGAACCAAAATCCTGCAGTGTGTGCGCAAGGTACATACCTACATCCCTTGCATCAGCAAGGTCGTAAAACAAGGGCCTGTCGGGCTGTCGTATTTTGCGACCAGCCATAGGTATGCTACGTCCAGAACGTCTGACTTTGACGATCGTTTTACCACAGCCGCAACCAAACTTTAAGGCGACCTCTTATATATAGCACTTTTAATTTTCACTAATGATACATCTAGAACGGCACTCGTCCTCTTTCCCCTGGCTGACGTATGTATTTAGAGCTAATGAAACACATCAAATAACGCGCTGAAACTGTTTGAACTGAACGCGCTCTCACACGCAGATCTGTCACACACTTCAATCGTTCCTACACGTTCTAATTTGTTATTCTTTCCATCGAAGATTTTATTAATAGATTCGAGCGTGTGAACGAATCTGAGTGCGCGCACAGTGTAAATAAATACACGTTTTAGCGCTGCTCATCAATTAACCTTCATTCCTTACGGGTTACGTTTGATGTGGAGGTCCATTAGCCCCAATCTGACGAAGCGCCTCTCCGGCAGCCCCAGCTCAGGAGGGGGGGGGGGGTGCTGCCGTCACTGAGCCGTCCGGCCAGTGCAGTGGGGTAGAACCGGCAGCCGGAGATACTCTACCGTCACTACACCGCCCAGCCCTCGGCAATGGTCAACGCACCACCGCAAAACAAACCGATCCAATCGCATCTCCGCCGTTCACCCCACGCTGACTGCCGACGACAAACGAGTCCACACAGCGGGCCCCGAGCACCTGCGGCGTCTCCGATGCTACATTACGAGCCTCTCGCCTCTGACAGCATCGGGAGGGGATCCGCCACTGGCGACACTGATCTCCAGTCTCCACCCAGCTGCCCGGCAGTGCGGCTCCATCGCACACCCGTGATAGGCTCCTGCACTAACGGGCAGGTAGCGTAGGATCAGGATCACGAGTCACAGTTAGTGGCAGCATGTGTTGGAGCGCCTTTAACCCGGCAGGCGGTGGGCCTACCAGCCACCTTCCACGCGGTGGGGGGGGGGGCACTTTTTTGCCCCCCCCCGTATCTCCGAAACTACTGGACGGATCCGGAAAATTCAAACGGCGTTCGATAGCCCTGTCAAATTTGTCGAGGGAAACCAAATTTCATTGACCTCGGGGTCACCGATGACGTCACGGGTCAGGTCAAAGATAAAATGTTTCACCGTTCACAGGGCTTCTAGGGAAAGCGCTATAACATCGAGTAAAACGCATTTTGTCGAAAATCAGCGATAAGGCGTCAGTTGTCTAGTGCATATGTTGCTATTAGAGGTCACTGGTCATACCAGGTCAGGTCACAGGTCAGGTCACCAAAGGTCACCAAGGGTCACCACATGAGCCCAACTTTACTAAGGTTATGTGATGCATGTTTTATGGCCAGTTTTTCATTTCCAACTCAATGGTGTTGGTTATAAGACCATCAGGTACGGTTTAGGTCACTTTCTGGTGGAGGTCAGGTCAAGGTCAGGTCAAAAAAGGTCAAATTTCAAAGTTGATATTTTTGCATAAAATGGGTATCGATTCGATGCAGCTCGTCACGGGGAGTCTAATGGTGGTCTTTGTTTTGCGCTAGGAGGTCTAGAATTGCTAAAAATTGAGTTCGAAAATTTGACGTCATCATTTTTGAACAGTTTTTTTCGCTATAACTTGGCCAAAAAACGAGGTATCGATCTCAAATTTGGTATGTAGATAGAAGGCGGTAGGGACTATCACATATATTCCGTTTTTTTTTTTCGAAATTCAAAAAACTTTTTGGATTTTTTGGCTATTATATTCAAAAAATCTATTTTTTTATTTTTGGGGGTCAAAATCCAAAAAAATCGAAAAACCGAAATAGCAGTTTTGTAGCCCTCTTAATTCCACACCTTTTATGGCAAAAAACATTTTTCTGTATCTCTAAAGCTGTAGGCCTGACAGCTCTTCCCGCGAAACCTTTTTTGGGGTCGAAAATGGCAAAAATGACGTCACTCTTACGTCATTAGCGGCCAACCTATCATAGCCTTTGGAAAAATTTTTGGTCACCATGTGCGCTAGCTGCTCCCGGGAGGGTACTGAAAGTTTGGTGACGATCGGCGCAGCGGTTCTCGAGATATATCGAAAAAAGTAAAGGGGGGGGGGGGCAAAAAAATGCCCCCCCCCCCACCGCCTGGAAGGTGTGGTGTATAAGTGGAATTCCATGTAAGACGGCGAAACTGTCACTGTCTATGTGAGTGAAAAAGTCACTTTTGAGCGACTGTGGGAGACAAAAAAAAAAAATAACATACCTACTTAATTAAAATTTATTCCGAGTTAAGACAAAAACTTTGTGGAAATCTTCGTAATGGGCTTATGCCACCATTTCCTATGTAGGTTACTCCGTATGAGTGAGTCATACCACGCAAACTTTGATAAACATCATAACATAGGCTGCATTTTATCGCGCATGCCAATGTTTGCCTTAACCCGCGCCCCACTGGGGGGGGGGGCTATTTATAGCCCCCCTCCCGTTTTTCTGCAATAACTTCCAAACCGCTTGACGTATCAACACCAAACTTTCAGTACCTTCGGCTGCATCAATTTGACACCTTGTGTCAAAATTTGAATTTCGTACCTACCATAGGTCGGCCGGAAATGACGTCAGAGTGACGTCATGTTCGGCCGATTTCGACGCAAAACATTGAACCACGGCAATCGCTCCCAAGAGCTCAGTTTTTGAGCTAGATCCAATTTCTTTGCATGAGAGGACTCAGAATAGACTGCGCTATCAAACTGCTATCTCGGATTTTCGACATTTTGAAAATTTCGAAAATTTTATATAATAAAATTCAAAATTTATATTTTTACATTTTTTCCCAAACATTTTTGACTTTTCGAAAAAACCGGAATATATGTGATAGAACGCATTATTATGACTAACTCTAGCAAGTTTTAGCTAAATATCTTCAAAAATGGCCAAGTTATACACATTATTGCAAAAAATTAACAATTGTTAATTTTTCAAATCAATTTTTCAGCACAAATTTGACATCGTACGCCAATATGAATAGCACCATCGTGTTCCTGAGCTCAAACTGCATCCAATAGACACCTTTTTTGTTGAAAAATTTTAACTTCAAAATTTGACCTTTTTTGACCTGAAAGTGACCTGACCTAAGCTAAATTTGACTCAAAATGACCTCGAATGACACAGACGACATCAAATTCGAAATGTTTGGCCCAAATGGACCATATAACATCTGTCACGTGACCGACGGATGATAAAATATTTTCGTGACCTGTGATGACCTGACCTTGACCTAAAAATCAAAGTAAAAGTTTGGTACCCTCAGAGTATCTAGAGCATCTGTTCACGAGTGTGTGAACCAAAAATGAGCCTGATCTGACTTGTAAGATGGCGGCCAGAGCCCAAAACGTGAAGAAGCCAAAATGCTAATAATTTTTACTTTGACCTGACCTGTGACGTCATCGGTGACCTCGAGGTAAATGAAATTAGGTTTCGCTCGACAGTTTTTGCGGGGTTATCTGACGCCGTTTGAAT